ACAAGAGATGTTGCAGCGGGAATGGATAGTGAATATTGTGCACTGTTATCGTGAAGCAAATTTTGCTACGAGGGTTATTTGGCGACCTTAGCTCATTCATATCCTACTGGCTGCCATAGACTACTTGATCCACCATTAGAAGTCAAGCTGTGGTTACTGCACGATATAGGACACTAGACCCTGGTAGAACCAAACCAGTAATCGGCCAACCAATCCGAGTGCACCGGATGGTCGAACAGAGCAGTAGAAAGGCCTCCGGTTGTTGAACACCATCAACGCAGGACTAGAAATCTTCAGATCGAAGACAACACAAGAAGTAGAAGGAGACGACGACAGGTCGAGCTAAGGCCCTCGAATGGCTTGTTGGAAGTTCGACCTACAAGTATGGTTGGTCGTACGATCGACCAGAAAGACACTTGGTCCCAAAACAGGGAACGTTCTACCTCAGCAGACCTGGAGATGGTCACACCATTATGCAGTCTAATAGAAAATTAAGCGATAAAAAGGAATCATAAAGGGTTAAGAGCCGCACGTGGATAGGGCCACGTGGCATAACAAAATTGGGCAGTTCGGGCAGACCGGGCAATTCAGGCTGTAGTATCGGTCAACTCGGCCAGTTTGAGCAGTCCATTCGGGCAGTCTTGGAAAACAAGGTGTCATCTCCCTCCAAACACTATTTTCTACATTTCATCTTCTACAAATGCTCATTTAAGCATCGAAGGCTCTTCACCAAAAAACCCCTCCAATGTGAGAGTTTTTGCCGTTTGCAGGTGATCTACTGGGGAGGGAGCTCAAGTTCAGGCCGTTTTCAGCCGGTCAGAGGTTTTTGCGTACATAATTAGTCTAAAAGTTAATCAAAACATCTATAAATCAAATTGTCGAATTAGAATTTTTTTGACGAGTTAAAACTTTTGATTATTTTAAACCTCTTCTTATCAATTGTAAAAATCGTACATAGATTGTAAATATTAGTTTATATAAATAAATATAAATAGACAAATAATTTTTCAATAATAAAAAGAAATTAATTTATTTCGACAATTATTTTAATTCTTTATATGAGTTTAATTTCAGTAACAATGGATATTGTCTAAATAATAAACATATTCAACGATAACACATCCAAAAAAAATACCAAATTTTACAAATCTTGGTGTTGGAAATGCTAATTTATTGGTGAAGAATCGAGTGCTCAGCTGGAAGACTAAGTACCTCTCATCTGCAGGAAAGGAGGTACTTATTAAATCAGTCTTGAATGCCCTTCCCCTCTTTGTCATGTCTTGCTACAGATTACCTTTGAGCATTTGTAAGGAAGTGGCTGGTATCTTTGCAAAGTTTTGATGGAGCAAATGCAGTGATCAATCACACTAGTGGCATACACTGGAAAAGATGGGATCTCCTCACCCTAGCAAAGAACCAAGGAGGCCTTGGCTTCAAAGATATCAAGCTCTTCAATGAAGCACTGTTAGTAAAACAGCTCTGGAGGGTGATCACAAAACCCTAGCTTCTCATGAGTAGGATTATGAAGAGCATATATTTTCCCAATACTTCCATCTTTGAAGCACAACTGAGAGCTAACTCATCTTGGCTCTGGAGATCATGGATGAAAGTTAGATGGCTCCTACAAGAAGGTCTAAATGTAGAGGTGGGGAATGGGGCTACTGTGCGGCTACAAGATTTCAACTGGGTGACTGGGATCAGGAACAGAAGGCTTAAAACCAAAGGGGGCACAGACTCTAGCAAGATTTGGGTGAGAGATCTCATTGATGGTGATAACAGGTGGAATGAACATTTACTCAAAGAAGTGGTTGAAGAAGATGACTGCACAGAAATCTTAAAAATCCAATCTCTAGATGCTCAGATGGAGGACAAGTGGAGCTGGAAAATGGGAGCTCAAGGTAAATTCACGGTGTCATCAACTTATGCTTTTTTGCATTATAGGAAACTGCTTGCTATGGATATTGCACAAGGAAGTGATACAGCCTTGAGGAACCAACAGGTTAGACATAGAAGCTGGTGCATCAATGTTAAAGGTAAATTAAGACATTTCTTTTGGAAATGCTATACTGGTGTTTTGCCTGTTAATGTCAGCTTGAAGGGCAGGGGAGTTGAGGCTGATCCTATCTGTCACACTAACAATCTGTGCTTGCTGTAGGGATACTGCTGAGACCATAGAACATTTGTTTCTCACATGCTCTAGAGCAAGAAGTGTTTGGAAACATGCTCTAGTTTTTTGGGATGGCATTAGAGTGGATAGCTGCAGGTTTGAGGACTGGTGGTGGGTAATATGTTCTATTTATAGTTCCAAAGTAGCCGAAGATAGAATCGAGCTTACCACGTACATCCTATGGTGGCTTTGGAAATCGAAGAACCTCTGGGTCTTTGAACACATTTGGAGGCCAGACCAAAGCATTATCAAAGGTGCATTGAGGGACTGGCAAGAAAATAGCATGAGCTGCAGCAGAATTCCGAGACATACCAACATCTCTAGCTAGGTCTACTTTAAGTAGTTCAATGGTTAGAAGGTTTGTTAGATCATGGTATTATCGGTCTTGTTTGTAATTTGTCACTAGAGGTATCAGTTAATTATATGTCTTTGGTGGTCTTTATTGTATTTGTTTAGCCTACTAGTGTTAGTAGTGCTCCCTGGTTTTGCCGCTAGCATTAGGACTTTGTACCTGTACTTATTGGATCTTTGATCTTGGTTTATATAAGTATTGTACGTGGTAGAGACCGAACGGACAGAAAAATTATATTTAATAAAGGTTCATCCGGGTTCGTGAATAGGAACACGATGAAACGGACCGAATGGGAGAAAAGACCGAGCGAGATACAGATAGTGTGTCCGATTAGAGCTAATCATTACCATGATTTGTCCGTACGATATGCATTTAATGCAGCCAGATCCAAAAATCATCGATCTGAGGGTGCTTAACAAGTATAGACACGCGTCGCGACCCGGGCAGAGCTAGTTTATTGAGATGGGATTATGTAGTACAATAGCATTAAATGTGGTGTGACTAAATATCAATTAATATCTTGTAAAAGAAAGTGGAAAAGGAGATCCCCAAATTGGATTGTAAGAAGCTCTCACACTTCCTGTATAAGGAGCAAGAGGCAACATTAAATGCAGTGAGTAAATGCTCTCATTAATGCTGTAAAATTCACGGATAGGTTGACCATTCGTACTGCATTTCATACCGAATACCATATAAAATCCTATTCGTGCAGACTGAACCCAGTGTACATCTCAGTACACAGTTCGAACACATTGTTGGTCATTTTTAGACATCAACAAGTATACCTATCGTTTTTGAAATATATATATATATATATATATATATATATATATATAGTGGATGCGCTCCGGTGAGAATGATTCTAAGTGAAAGAAATAAGAATACATTATAGCCATTAGATCGGATGATCCAATGATTTTAAAAAGAAGCAAAATATATAACTTCATTGAGGACATTAGAGTAATTTTTTACACCAAACCCAAGAAGTGGGTCCCACTCTAATTAACACACCTGCGAATTAAACCATCCCACCCACAGGTCAACAACCCGGCCTTACACCATCCCATCCCCACTATACTCTCTCTCTCTCTCTCACACAACACACACCACTCCAAACTTAATTTATTAGTGGGCCCTATATCCTAATTCACGGTATCCACCATCCCCAATCATCCTTGTAAATGTTTTTCTCCCTCGATAGAAAGCACAGTCCGTCGCCTTCTCCCGGCCGTCGGCGATTATCTCCCGGCCGCCTGCTATCATCTCCCTAGATGGCGTAAAATTTCTACCATGCTCGACCGACGGCTTAGGCGCAGCCGTTCAGTCCGCAATTTACCGCCTCGTTGCCGGAAATGGTGAAGCTTCGAATCGACGCCGTTAAAACTGCCTTCTCCGACATCCTCCTCCACCAAAAAGATCCGTCGCACGCCGGCATCTGAAAANAAAAAAAAAAAAAAAAAACACACCAACTCCATTGACGTCGGATCTCTTGTCACGACGGGATAATTCACATGGCGAATGGCAAAATACCGCCGCAGAAAGAGACGCCGGATGTCGCCGGCTGGAGGAGGTGACGAGCAGACACGGTGGTGGGTAGAAGAATTTGGGATTAGGGCATTATATTGAAAATTAGATAATTTTCAAGGATTTGGTTGTAATTAAATGAATTTTAATTATATTTCAATTTGGTTCATGTGCCAAATATGTAATTTATAGAAAAATTAATAAATGCATATTAATCATAAATAAAACGGCCAATATGTTGTGTTTATTCACGTTAATATAACCACGATAAAGTGTACAATAGCGTTATACGAAATGCACATTAAGGACTGATACACTGCACAATAGTGATCGACACCAACTAATCTAAATTTTCGATTTGAATTTTTATATGTTAGTTATATTATATGTTTTACTTTTAATAATTCAATTATCAACTGAACTATATAAAAATAATATTTTTTTTATATTTATTATATATATTAGAACATTTTAACTAAAACATAATATAATATATAAATATTAATATACTAAATATATTTCATAATATAGATTTAAATCATTTCGATCGTTTATTCCAATTCGGCTAACCGAACGACTTACTCGATTAATTCAGTTTCAGTTATCCTGATTTGGCAAAAAGTATTAAAAATGACAGCAGTACGAGTGCACAATGGTGTTAGACAAGTTGCATATTAATGAATGTCGAATTGCACAATATAACATCCGAATTTTTCGATTCGGATTTTTATATTTCGTTTCGATTATCTGTGTTCCATTTTAAAATTTTGGTTATTTTAGTTTCGGCTTTACATTTAGAAAAGTAACCCAAATAACACAGTCGAACAAATTATATAAAACAATAATATTTTTATATATTTATAATTAAAAATATTATTATTTTCAGCAAAAAAACATCCTATAAAATTATAAATATAAAATATTAAAATAATAATTATGCTTTTATATTAAAAATAAAATTTTATTTTAGCATTTTGGTTAATTTAACTGACCAAAATAGACCAATAAATTCAGTACAATTTTAGTTTGGATTGATACAAAAAATTAGGCCGATTCATAATGCACAATAGAGAACGAAAACCGTACACATTAATGTTATACAAATTACACATTAATGACTGTCAAATTTCATAATATTGACCGAACCCGTACGAACTAAAATATTTAGTTCAAATATTACATTCCAGTTCAATTACTTTCTTTTATTTTTATAATTTCAAATTTTTTGACCAAATATTACAAAACCCTAAAAAATATCAAAATTCCTACGTCAGTCGGTGATCAATATAGTTCAATATATAAATCTATAACGCGATGACATTGATAATTTTTTAAATTTTTTGATGTGCATATATACACATACTATTATGAAATTTATTTATTGATAATTTTTTAAATTTTTCTGATGTGCATATATACACATACTATTATGATTATTTAGGTTACTTTAATTAACCGATCAAATAAACTGATTATTTTGTTCGATTTTAGTTTGGTTTGGTGCAAAACATTAAAAAATGCACGCACTATGACTGCACAATAGTGTTAGATTAATGGCACATTAATGACTGATAGATTGCACAATAACGATTGAAACATACCGAACTAACATTTAGGTTCAAAATTTTATATTTCGGTTCGATTATCTATTTTTTTACTTTGAAGGCGCGTATTTACATACACTATTGTGCAATTCATTTACCAATATCGTGTTTGTTACATTTTTAATAATTTTGTATAAATATGATAGTATTTTTTAAATGTAGAAATCTACACACAATATTGTGCAATTTAATTATCAATTTTGTGCATTTTTTTTTTAATTTTTAATAAATTATGATTTTGACCCTTGGACTAAAATTGAAATATAATTAAATTTTCTTGATTGCATACAAGTCCCTTCCACTTATCTAATTTTCAAAATCAAATCCCCCATTCCTTCAACACCCCAGCCTCCGTCAGTCACCCTTCTCCCGCTGCTCCTCGTCGGCCGTTGCTTCTCACCGGCCGCCGAGCTCGTCGTCACATGCTCGATGACGCCTAGTCCCAACATCAACGGCGACGTCGGCCGGGTCGAGTACCTCCTCATGACCGCCGACGCCGATTTCGACTACCGGAAGTTCGCATCCGTTTTCGGTGAAGCCGCCGACGGATTCCGGTGCGCAGTGTACGATTATCTGTCGACGGAGAAGAAGATGGCGTGCGACATTCATGAGGTGTTAGCCGACGGCCTGAAAGTCCACCCGAGGGAGGCTTTCAGCAAGCTGCTGAAGGACGAGGAGAGCGACTCGATTTTCCGGCTGAACCGGTATCCGCCGTGCACGGGGGCCGGGGATTCTGACCCGATTGGCTTCAGGGTGCACACGACCCATAAATACTACCGGTTCTGAGGTTCAACGACACCGGCGGGCTCCAAATCGTGGGGATGGACGGCGAGTGGGTCTCCGACCGCCGGATCGGAATTGTTTCTTCATTAACCGCCGTCAATTTTTTCATTAATGTGTTCCGGCGGGGGTCCGACGACGTGTGTGTGTAGTGTGTGATTTTTGTATGCGTGGTGTGTTTGCAGATTCAGTGCGTGAGTAGTGTGTGAGAGAGAGATCATGCTTGATGGGTCGGTGATTGTGGTGGGTCCCACATGATGGGTTGGCATTATTGTAATGACTAAGTTATCCTTATTTAGTGGTTAACTTTATATATTTGACCAAGTCATGACCATCTATTTACGAAAATACCATGCTGTTTGACTGTTATTTATTAACATTTGACTCGACCATGACCGTTCACGCCGTAGATCCAGTGGTACAATATCATTCTTATTTCTTTCATTATGATTCATTCTTATTATGATTCAAATGAGAACCATATCGTATTGTGAGAACCGTGAGAACCACTATTTTTAATTGTTAATTGTAAATAGTGCTATTATTTATTGTTTAGTGTTATTTTTAACCATGATGTATTTTATTAAAAATAATAATATAATTTATGTTAAAACTTGTGAAAATGATAGCACCATGTAATAGTAAAAATAGCATCACACACATATAAAAATAGCATCAAATTCGGTTCTCACGGTTCTTACACCAGGACTGGTTTTAATTGAACCAACCCCTATATATATATAGGGAATGGTTCCAATGCATCCACTTATTTAAAGTGAGGATGTAAGACTCATTTTTAGCCACAAGATTTGGTACATATCATGTGTGGCCAAGATTTACTCTTTTCTTTTTATTATTTTAATTATTTAAATATTATTTTGACCCGTTGACTTCGGCGTTGATCGTTGACTTTTGGTATTGACCGTTGACTACCGACGTTGACCATTGACTTTCGGCGTTGACTCCGGCATTGATCGTTGACAACTAACCTTCCAACTAGGTTAGTTCTCTGTAGTTGCTAGGTTAGTTCTCTCTAGTTGCTAGGTTAGTTCTCTGTAGTTGCTAGATTAGTTCTCTCTAGTTGCTAGGTTAGTTCTCTGTAGTTGCTAGGTTAGTTCTCTGTAGTTGTTAGTTTAGTAGTTGCTAGGTTAGTTCTTTGTAGTTGCTAGGTTATTTTTCTGATGTTGCTAGGTTAGTTGTCTTTTGTTCCTAGGTTATTTCTTTCTTACTGCTAAGTTAGCTGTCTTTTGTTGCTAGGTTAGTTATCTTTAGTTGTTAGGTTAGTTGTGTTTTGTTGCTATGTTAGTTCTCTGTAGTTGCATTGGGCTGGATCCCCAACCTGTGCATAGATCAGGGCCTCAAAATCGGGAGCCCAAAATATCAACGAACAAGAAACAAAAGTCTATGGAGTCTCACAAACAAAGTCAAAACAAAAGGAAAACCAAAGAAGAAGAACCGAAAAACGAAAATGAAACAAAAACTACAATACAAAGCCGATCTTCGGGCTAACATATGCCCAAAATAAATGTCTATACTAATGAAAACAGAAATCCTAAACTAGTGAAAACGGAACGCTGGATATCCAAGCTGGTCCATCTGTACAAGAGTGCGAAGGCGGAGTGAAACAGTGTCGGTCTGGAATGTATGTGTGCCTGGTATGGTGGTGCCAAGGCTGGCCAGGTAATCAGCCGGTCTGTTCCCCTCACGGAAGATGTGCGTGATCCTATGATGGACTGACCGAAGTAGATCTCTAATGCGCATAAGCGGGTGTTGAATCTGCCACGAGCCCTGATGGCCCGATGTCAGGAGGGTGGCGACAGCCGCAGCATCCAGCTCGATCCATATATGACTAGAGAGGTGGATAGCAATCTGCAAGCCAATCTGTAGTGCTTGAATCTCTGCATCGTAGCTCAAAGAGGCCTGAATGGACGCGTGGAAGGCGGTGATGAGGGCGCCGCTATGGTCCCGAATCAATCCTCCTCCTCCGGCAAGTCCAGTGTGGCGATCAAAGGAGCCATCAGTGTTCAGCTTGACCCACGGAGAGTCGGGTCGAAGCCAAACAACAGCTCTGGCCCGAGGAGGCCGAACAGTCGGTGGTGAGGCCACCATGTAGCGATGCGGTGGCGTGCAGCCTGTCCAGTCTCGGGCCGTGAGCCTGCCCATTGCGATGAGGAGTGAAATGTGTCTCTCTACCTGCAAAACAATGTGAGAAAACATAAAAGTAATTTTCCTATGCTTCGCACTATTCCTTTCTGTCCAGGTGAACCAAAGGATCAGACAAGGAATGAGGAAGCCCACGTGTCTAAGGTGTGTGCTCTGTGAGAAAAAACTCAGGAGCTCAAAAAAACTGTATGTGGTGGGTAGGGATATATGAGTCCAAGTGGCAAAATGCTCCCACACTCTCCTCACAATCTCACTCTCTAGAAAAAGGTGGGTAAAGGTCTCAGTCTCATGGCGTCCAGTCTCAGAACAACACACACACCGAGAGGGGAAGGAGATCCCTCTCGCGTGTAGCACAGTATCGACGGGTATCCGGCGCAAGAGGAGGCGCCAAAGGAACACCGAAATAGTAGGCGTGAAAAGGTCACTCCAGATAGCCCCGAAGAGGAGATTAGGCCGATCCCTCAGCCTTATCTGCTCCCAAGCCGAGGTAGTAGAAAACACACCTGATGATGTAAGTCTCCACCTCATGCTATCTGAACCGTCCCCCGAGATAGGGATCTGCTGGATCTGATCTAATAACTGCTCGCTAAAACCCGCACCAGCCCCCAACTCCCTATCAAGCTTCCCCCTATCCCACGACCCGTCCGTCCAGAGGTCGCTCACGAGCAGGTAGAGGGAATGCGACACCTGCCTATCCCTAGACAAAGGCCTATCACCTACCCACCACTCATCCCAGACACTGACATCGCCCCCGCCCAAAACCCAAAAGATGTGATCCTGGGCTCACCTCCCGACCTTAGTGAGGCGTCGCCACTGTCTGCTATCATGATCAACAGCCGTGACCCAACAAGGATGGTTGGCACGTCTAGGGCAGTACTTGCCGCGAAGGTACTGAGCCCAAAGCGACTTTCCTTCCCTGAAGCGCCACCACAGCTTGTATGAGAAAGCTGTAACAATGTCCCTGAGGCGGCGGATGCCAAGGCCACCCTCGGGAAGGGGGCGGCAGATAGAGTCCCAACTCACCCAGTGAGTACGTCTCCCCCTCCCAGACCCGTCCTCATAACCCCAAAAATAACGAGCCATAATCTGGTCAAGCTCGTCAAGAGTAGACCTAGGGGGGTCAAGGACCATGAGCAAGTGAACCGGAAGAGAGCTAAGAGTGCTCTTGATCAGCGCTAGCCGACCACCGAAAGAAAGATATCTATGCGACCAACCAGAGATCCTGTCGATCATCCTCTGCCTAACGCCCACAAAGAGCGCTCTCGTGAGGTTGCCCTTATATAAAGGGACCCCGAGGTAGGTAATGGGAAGGTCGCCACGTGCAAAGCCAATAATGTCGTGGACTCTGTTGCTAGGTTAGTTATTTGTAACTGCTAGGTTGGTTGAGTTTTGTTGCTAGGTTAGTTGTCTTAAGTTGCTAGGTTATTTTTTTCTTGCTGCTAGGTTAGTTGTCTTTTGTTGCTATGTTAGTTGTGTTTTGTTGCTAGGTTAGTTGCTTCTTGTAGGTTAGTTGTCTTTTGTTGCTAGGTTATTTTTTTCTTGCTGCTAGGTTAGGTTATTTCTTTCTAGCTGCTAGGTTAGTTGTCTTTTATTGCTAGGTTAGTTGTATTTTGTTGTTAGGTTAGTTGTCTGTTGTTGCTAGGTTATTTATTTCTTTTTGCTAGGTTAGTTGTGTTTTGTTGCTAGGTTAGTTGTCTTTTGTTGCTAGGTTAGTTCTTTCTTGCTGCTAGGTTAGTTGTATTTTATTGCTAGGATATTTCTTTCTTGCTGCTAGGTTAGTTGTCTTTTGTTGCTAGGTTTTTTTTTTAAAAAAAAAAATTATTTATTTCTTTTTGCTAGGTTATTTGTGTTTTGTTGCTAGGTTAGTTCTTTCTTGCTGCTAGGTTAGTTGTATTGTATTGTTAGGATATTTCTTTCTTGCTGCTAGGTTAGTTGTCTTTTGTTGCTAGGTTTTTAAAAAAAAAAATTGTAATCCATAGGATTTGAACCTGGTACCTCATGGAAGCAAGACAAGCAATGCAACCACTACAACACTCAAGGTTGAATGTCTTTTGTTGCTAGGTTATTATTTCTTGCTGCTAGATTATTTGTCAACGGATCAACGCCAGAAGTCAACGATTTTCACCGAAAGTCAACGATTTTCGCCGAAAGTCAACGCCGGAAGTAAACGGTCAATGTCAGAGTCAACTAATAATTATTTTATTATTTAGTTAATGTATATTTTAATTAATTTTAATCTAGACAAAATGAGTGGCTAAGATTGAATCTCAGGTACTCATTTTCAGGAGTGGTCTCATTGGATCCGTCCCCTATATATATATATATATATATATATATATATATATATTACATCAAATTCGGTTCTCACGGTTCTTACACCAGGACTGGTTTTAATTGAACCAACCCCTATATATATATATATATTAGGACATGTAAAGAAGATAGAAAGTACAAAACAAAAAATGTTGAGTATAAACATGGAATTTAGTTTAATTTATGGCAAGAATTTACTTAAACTGACAATCGTCCACTTTCTCATAACTTAATATTTATTTTGTAATTTTACGAAAAAAATATTGCAAGAGTAAGAAAACAAAGAGGACTGATGGTTGTGCAGTTTCCAAATAGAAGAAAGAAAGTGTACTTAATAAAATTTGTGTGGGTGTGTTGTATTATGAAGTGTTGTGTATTCAGTTAGATTTAAGATTTCAATTTAATGAAATTGAAGATTTTCATTTTATGTTAGATTTAAATTCTAATATGTAGAAAATTGGTTTTGCTATGAAGCCAACAGTTGGTTTCATAGTGGAGTCAACCTTCTATATACAACAAATAAACCTACT